TACTATGTATCTGTGTATGTTACTATGTATCTGTGTATGTTACTATGTATATGTGTATGTATCTGTGTATGCTACTATGTATCTGTGTATGTTACTATGTATCTGTGTATGTTACTATGTATATGTGTATGTATCTGTGTATGCTACTATGTATCTGTGTATGTTAGTATGTATCTGTGTATGTTTCTATGTATCTGTGTATGTTACTATGTATCTGTTTATGTTACTATGTATCTGTATATGCCAAATATCATTACATTTGATTTACAGCTGCAGAGTGAAGTGAAGAGGATGACTTAAAACAAGCTACGCTGGTAGATCATGCAATGCATGTGAATGAAAACTTAGTTATACAAAGGACGTTTTACACAGCTGATCAATCAATCAATGTCGTCACTAGTTGTATAGGGTGACCCTGTGATGGTATTTAGAGCCTTTTTCCTATTAAATCATGCGTTATTCACACTATTGCCTCCTAGTCTTTCCGACTTGTATCTCGCTCAGCCGTGATTGATATCTCTGTCAACCATTATATGATATGTCGTACATTGAACACATATGTTATACGCTTGTTGGAAAATCATTTTGATCCAAATCGATCTTCTTATAAAGACGATTGACACTATTTGAGAACTATATTAAGTGAGTGTAAGCTAGAGGCGATAATGATAAACTTCGTAAAAACAAAAAGACAAAACGACTGCAGACAGAGGAAATGGTTTGTATCAGAATCCTATTAACAAATAAAAAATAATAATTGGGGGGGGTAAATTTTGGTACAGCAAGTCTATGTGTTTCATTTTTTAAACAAACAGACAGTCATGGAACTTTTAAAAATTTTGGAGTAAAAGGATAGATGAAATATAACTACCCTTAGGCTGAATATATGGCAAATAAATACCAACCCTCGAGATAAGATACAATGTTAACCCAGGGACGGGTATGATAAAAATAATCATAATTTTCAATCTTGGGTGACTTCTCGAGAAAATATTACCACTTGTGTTTGGACATTCTCGGAAATGGGATGTCTTTGTCATATACTTCAAGGTGACGAGGAAATCGGTCAATACATGCTCCAGACGTACTTGTACGTGATATGAAATAAAATGCTCCAAAGGTTTTGGTTTGTGAATTGTTTTATGTTCCATTAACAATTTAAGTCATTTAGAGCTCCTGACGAGTAATAAACTACGAACGTGCCGATTTAACACAACTACTGCTTATTGCGTCAGTCCATTAAGTCGAATAGCTCCTCAACACAGTGTTTCCTTAGACTAAAGACATTACATTTTTGTGATAATATTCTTGAAAAATTAGATAAACAAATATTATTTAAATGTCCTACTTATGATAATATATTAGAAACAAAGTACCCCATACTGGTTATAGGACGATAGGACGTTTTGTAAATCGTGCCTCATTCTTAATATATTAGAATTAAAGTACGTCATATTGGTTATAGGACATTTTATAAATGGTGCCTCATCTCGTCACCATCAAACACCGTCAGTACTTCGGTCTACTATGGATATACATCCGAATTCATTATGGATAGGCATCAACTATTTCTTTAATTAGTACACACAGTAAATTATATATATATATATGTCGTATTTCATTATTCAATGCGTACTTGAAGATGATTGATTCAATATTTGTTACAAGAGTAAAATGAGTTCCACCAGGTGTGTAAGTTATTTAAGATTAATACTATTTTGTGTGAGTGTAATTAGTTCCGAACAGGTGTGTCTGATATCCGACAGTGGTGTTTAATACTATTTTGTGTGAGTGTAATTAGTTCCGAACAGATGTGTCTGATATCCGACAGTGGTGTTATATACTATTTTGTGTGAGTGTAATTAGTTCCGAACAGGTGTGTCTGATATCCGACAGTGATGTTTAATACTATTTTGTGTGAGTGTAATTAGTTCCGAACAGGTGTGTCTGATATATTACTCTTGAGTGTAAGCTATATAATATCCGACAGTGTTGTTTAATACTATTTTGTGTGAGTGTAATTAGTTCCGAACAGGTGTCTGATATTATTACTGTTGAGTATAAGCTATATAATATCCGACAGTGGTGTTTAATACTATTTTGTGTGAGTGTAATTGGTCCCGAACAGGTGTCTGATATTATTACTCTTGAGTGTAAGCTATAATATTATTATATCCGACAGTGGTGTTTACTACTATTTTGTGTGAGTGTAATTACCTGTAGTTCCCAACAGGTGTGTCTGATAGTATGAATCTTGAGTGTAAGCTATTTCCGACAGTGTTGTTTAATACTATTTTGTGTGAGTGTAATTAGTTCCGAACAGGTGTCTGATATTATTACTGTTGAGTGTAAGCTATATCTGACAGTGGTGTTTACTTTTATTTTGTGTGAGTGTAATTAGTTCCGAACAGGTGTGTCTGATATTATTACTGTTGACAGTAAGCTATTTTCGACAGTGGTGTTTAATACTATTTTGTGTGAGTGTAATTAGTTCCGAAAAGGTGTGTCTGATATTTTTACTGTTGACAGTAAGCTGTTTCCGACAGTGGTGTTATATACTAGTTTGTGTGAGTGTAATTAGGTCCCAACAGGTGTGTCTGGTATTATTACTTTGAGTGTAAGCTATTTTCGACAGTGGTGTTTACTACTATTTTGTGTGGGTGTAATTAGTTCCGAACAGGTGTGTCTGATAGTATTACTGTTGACAGTAAGCTGTTTCCGATAGTGGTGTTTAATACTATTTTACTTCAGTGTATTTTTTCCCTGATATGTATTTCTGGTATTAATACACCTTAGTGTAGGATGTATTTAACAATATTTTACCTGAGAGTAATTATTCCGCGACGTGTCTAAAATACATTTTAACATTTTAATATTATTTTACCTGAGCGTAATTATTTTGTAGAAACAACCTAAGATGTGATTATTTCTCAACAGATGTTTCTGATATCATGCTTTTCCGGAAGTGATAAGTCTCCGACATTTTTGTTAAATAATAACTTTACCTGTGTGTTGTTACGTCCGTTATGCGAGTTTAGAAAATTTCGACTGAGTGTATTTAATCCCGTGTGTTTGATACTTTTATCCCAGTGCAAATATTCCGCGACAGGTGTCTGAGATAATTTTACCGGAGTGTAATTAGTTCCCGACAAGTATGTGAAATACAGTTTTAACCGCGTGTAATTCTTCCGTAAAGGCGCTCTTGATATTGTTTTAACTGAGTGTAATTAGTTTCCAAATGTAGTTGTAATACTAATTATGCAACAGGTGTGTCTGATACTGTTTTATCTAGGTGTAATTACTCCCTGAATGTGTGTTTCATACTATTTTACTTGACTGTAATTATTTTGCAAGAGGTGGTTCTGAAGTCAATTTACAAGGGGATAAATATTCTCAACTGATGTCTAAATTTTATGTTACCTTAGTGTCATTATTCCTCGAGGGGTGTAGCTGATATTATTTTTGCCCTGTGTGTATTTATCTTTCGGCAGGTGAGTCTCGCATTATTTTACCCAAGCTTGAGCATTTCTTGAAAGGTGTTTTTTCCATATTATTTTACAGAGATTTTTTCAGAGATTTTTATTATCACTCAAGCACACTATTGTGCGCAACAAGAGGTCATCATAAAATACAATATAACAATGATATGGTTGACCGTAAAGCACTCATCTTACTATGCAAGCGTACAATAATATAGTTGAAACTATCACACTCCTCATACAATGATAAACACACTATAACACTGTTCATACGTACTATCATACGTAAAGGAGTAAGTAAGGTGTGATTAATCCCCGACAGGAGAACCTAATGTTATTTTTTTCTGAGTGAAATTATTCCCGGACAGTTCGCGTTTAATACGTGTATTATTATATTGTATTGAATTATTATATTGTATTGTATTATTATATTATATTAGTCCCTGACATGTGTGTCTGACATTATTGTATCTAATTGTGGCGATACCGAGAAAAGTTCGTTTGATACCATTGTTTCCTCAACGTTATCTTTGTCCGCTACACGGGTTTAAGGCTGTTTTAGATACAAAACTTATGTTCACTAATTTGTTGCCTGCGCGATGGTAACCGTAACACGTGCGTTTCAGTCGACACGTGCGTCTGATACTACGTCGCCAGTGTGATTTCAGCCGACACGTGCGTCTGATACTACGTCGCCATCGTGATATCAGCTGCCACGAGCGTGTGGTACTACGTCGGCAGCGTGATATTGGCCGACACGTGCGTTTGATACTACGTCGCCAGCGCAGTGGCGGATCCAGAGGGTTTTTTTGGGCTTCAGGAACCCCCCCCA